GGGGGGGGGGGGGGGGGAGGGTTGGTAGGACTCCAGCGACCCAATCCTGGGATTATCACGGAGGCCCCAAGGGGCGGGCAAGGGAGAGGAGGTGGCTGGGAGGAATGGGAGGGATGCTAAGGCCTGGGGAACCCCCTTGGCCCCTGGGGAGGTGTGCGCATGCCCGGGTTTCTGTGCGCGGCGGGGGAAGGGGTGAGGGGGACAGGGCTGCGCAGTTGGCATCAGGGTTTCTTCTCCTTTAACTTTTCCTTCACTTTTTGAGGCTCAAATTGGATCAGTCGCAGGATTTCCTTATTGGCCAGGGTCCCCTCGATGAACTCTTCCTCCGTGAGTTTGTCTGTGGGCGAAGGGGGGGAAAACAGCGCCGTCAGGCTCGGCTGTTTCAAGCTGCGGCCGAGCTGACACCGGCCAGCGTGCCCTGTGCGGACGTTATCCAATATGAAAACACAGAGTGTCTGCACCCCCCGAGGGTGCCGCCCCCCAGAGACCCAGCTCCTCCCCGGGGCGCCCTGGGCCTCTCGGTGATCCTCCAGGGTGCATTCCGGTGCCTCAACTTTTCTGGCGGGTTATTAAATATTTAGAACATTTCATAGCAAGCCTTTGCCTTGCTGGTTATTAAATATTTAGAATATTGCCCTAGCCCCGAAGCTTCAAGCCCTGGGGGGGGGGACTTCTGGGAGACTGAGCAAAGCAAACAGAATCCCTGTCAGAAGCAGGAAACAGCATCCACCCAGGGAGTGAGGAGTGACAAGTGAGGGGTCCAATCGTGGTTCCCTGGGAGAGCCTGGCTTGCGGAGAGGTCTCTCTGTCCCCCTCCCAGTGCTCGGGCTGTGGCAGTGCCACTGTGCTTGGGGCTGAGGTCGCTGCAGCTCTTGGTCTGATGGGGAAGGCAGTCCCATGTTGAAAAACCTCTGGAAGGAGGAGCTTCTTTCTGCTTACGGTTCTGGGCACAGCACCTGCTACATGCAAAGCTCGGCTGAACTGAACTGGGTTTCCATTGGCCTATGTTCCATGCCTTCTGGAAATCCTTAGTGCCTTCCCGGGTTAGGATTCAGGGTGATTCCCTGCACAGGTCTGGGTCGTGAAATTTGGGTTGTAAAGGCTCAGCTGCCCCATCAGCCTCACACAGAGCTTGAAACTTCCACAGTCAGAGCCCAACTGTGGAGTGAGGCATTCATTGTCTCCAGTGGGGCCATCCGGAACCAGCCCCCGAACACCACCGCCTCCTGTGACCGTGATGTTCACCTGGGTCAGTTTTCAGGTAGAACAGGGGACCCCCACACGAGGCAGACCTGAGCGATGTGCCAGATGGGGTTAAAGAGCCAGTGGGGGTGGGGGTGGGGTGCCTGGACGGCCCAGTCGGTTGAACCTCGACTTTGGCTCAGGTCGTGATCTCATGGATTGTGGGTTCGAGCCCCGCGTCGGGGTCTGTGCTGACAGCTCGGAGCCTGGAGCCTGTTTTGGATTCTGTGTCTCCCTCTCTCTCTCTCTCTGCCTTTCCCCCGCTTGTGCTCTCTCTCTCAAAAATAAGTAAACAAAAAATTTACCAAAAAAGAAAG